CGCTTTCTGTCTCTATGTCTCTGTCTGTCTGGCGAGCGCACGCGCCCTTATAGCGAAAAAAACCTCTCCAAAAAAAAAAAAGATTTTTGGGCATACAGACACATACACACACACACACACACACACACACACACACAGCATGCCCAGCATGTTTTTCAAGCCGCCGGGTCCACGACTCAAACCATGTGGTCAACCATGTGGAATCCAGCCACCTTAATCACCAGACCACAACTAGCCCAAGATTTGTAATTTCATACCATTGTGGTTGGAAAAGATACTTGATATGATTTCAGTCTTCTTAAATTATTTAAGGCTTATTTTGTGGCCTAACATATAATCTATCTTGGACAATATTCTTTATGTGCTTGAGAATACTTTATATTCTGCTGCTGTTGAGTAGAATGTTCTTATGTGTCTGTTAGGTCCATTTGATCCAAAGTGCAGTTTATTCTTGATTTTCTGTACAGATGGTCTTTCCATTGCTTAAAATGGGATAGTGAAATTTTATAGTCTGTCTCTCCATTTACATCTATTAATATTGGCTTTATATAACTGGATGCTCCAATGTTAGGTGCACATATACTTAAAATCATTATGTCCTCTTGATGAATTGATCCCTTACCACTAACTCATGTCTTTCTCTTTTGATATTTGACTTGAATTCTGTTTTATCTGGTGTAAGTATGGCTACTCCTGCTCTCTATGTAGTTTCCATTTACCTGAAATATATATATTTTCATCCTTTCACCTCTACTCTATATGCATCCTTTAAAGTAAAGTGAGTCTCTTCAATGCAGCACATAATTGTTTTATTATCCATTAAGCCATCGGATGTGTTTTCATTGGAGAATTTAATCTATTTATATTCAAGGTAATTCTTGAGAGTTAATGACTTACCGTTTTTCCATTTTGTTCATTGGATTCTGTTTGCTTTGTAGATCCTTCATTCCTTTCTCTGCTTCCTATCTTCCTTTGTGATAGGTGATTTTTCTCTATCCAGTGGTATGCTTTCATTTCTTAGTTTTTTATTTTTTGTGTATCTACTATGGCTTTTCCTTTGTGATTATTATGAGGCTTACATAAAACATATTATAGTTACAACAGGCTATTTTAAACTAACAACTTTGCTTTGATTCCATACAAACACTCTATACCTCTTCCCTACAATTTAAATTCTTACTGTCATGTTTTAATTAATTTCTACTGTCATAATTTATATTGTTTCCCTTAACAAATTACTATCGCCATTTTTAATTGTCTTGTATTTTAACTTCATGCTAAAAGTATAAGTGATTTATACATCACCATTATAATATTAGATCATTTTAAATTTGACTATGAACTTAGTTTTATCAGTGAGCTTTATACTTTCATATGCTTCTGTGTTACTAATTAGCATCCCTTTCTTCCAGCTTGAAGAATTTCCTTTAGACATTTCTTATAGGACAGGTCTCATGGTGAGAAATAATGACTTTTAATGTAGCAAAGTATGAAAGGTTCATTGATATGATTTAAAATACCTTATGATAGCTAACCTTTGACAAAATACTATTTGTAGTATGGTATAGTGTGAAAGAAGAATTTCCACAAATATCTGAAGAGATTATTAAATATTCCTCCTTTTTTTCACTATGTATCTATATCAGGCCAGATTTTATTCATGTATTTAAACCAAAACAACAATGCACGTTTAACTCAGAAGCAGTTATAAAATTATAGCCATCTTATATTATGTTTGACATTAAAGAGATTTTCAAAAATGTTAATAGTGTCATTCTTCCCTTTTGTTGTTTGGAAAGTAGTTTTTAATCATTTTTATTAAAATACATTACTCATGTTAACATAAAGTCAATTTGTTATTTTAATTTTTTAACTAGTATTCTAATTTTTTTTTTATTTCAGTTTCTTTTTTTTCTTTTTTTTGGAAAGGTTTTTGCCATAGGATGCATGCATTTGCCAGAAAGACAGAGAGAGGCAAAGCGAGAAATCACTCCCCAGGGGGGATGGCCACATCGCAGTCCCTTCTCCTCCATTCTCTTCTCAGGATCTTGGGCATACACGCACACATGCCCAGCATGAGTTTAAGCCACAAACCGCAGTCAGCTACCTGGGAGTTCAGCAACGTAGCCGTTACACTAACTGCTGGTCCCTCATTTCAATTTCTAACATGGTATATAGTGATAGGTATAACCTAACCAAATATTAATCTTTAGACTTTTCAGTAATGTTTAAGAGCATTAAGGGGCCTGGAAACAAAAAATTTGACAGAAGTATAAATCAGAACATTAGCATTCATAGACTCAGTGATCATACTTTCAGCTCATCCCAGTGTGGCTAACCCTAACCCTACCTCCCGTTCCACCCCTGCCAATCTTATAAGATAGTTCACGATCCAGTCATTATCTTTTATTCATGATATTTATAAGTTGGGTAATGTGCAAAGGTCTTGGGCAGAGTTGTCCTGAATACCACCATAATTGACATCTCTCCTGAAACACTCACAATATAATTGATTATTGCAGGGACCAGCAGTTAGCATAATGGCTATGTCGCTGGACTCCCACGTAGTCAACCGCGGTTCGCGTCCCAGACCCGTGGCTTAAAACTCACACCGGGCACAGGGCACGTGTGCGTGCGTGCCCAAGATCCCAAGAGGAGAATGGAGGAGAAGGGATTGCGGCATGGCCATCCCCCCTGGGGGATGATTTCTCACTTTCTGTCTCTGTCTCTCTGTCTTCTGGCGGGCGCATGCACCCTATAGCAAAAACCTCTCCAAAAATAAATAAATAAATAAATAAATAAATAAATAATTGATTGTTGCACACTGGCATCATAAACTTAAAAAGCAAAGATCTTTTTAAGGGGGAGAAGCTAGAGTTTGTTGCTTATATCAGGAATTCATGTTGCCATTTCACAGTATTGAATTTGATTATCACTGTACCTAGTATCTTTTGTTAAATGCATTTTGAATATAAAAGTAATATTAATGCTTAGGACATTACTTGCAACTACTTACCTACTAAACCAAGAACTTAAGGTTTTTTAAAAGACTTAAAATGCCATAGGAGAGACCAACATAATGATTACACCGCTGGACTCCCACATTGTCAACTGTAGTTCGAATCCTGGACTCAGTGGCTTAAACTCACGCTGGGCACATGTGCATGCGTACCCAAGATCCCAAGAGGAGAATGGAGAAGGGATTGTCACATGGTCATCCCCCTGAGGGGTGATTTCTCACTTTCTGTCCCTGTCTTTCGGATGAGGGCACACACCCTCTAGCAAAAGTCTGTCTTTAAAAAAAAAAAGTCATAGGATTATTCACAATGTCAAGGCCATATCTTGGGCACCCACTGTATAGCTAATATTGTGCTGGGCTTTGGAAATGAAAGATAATGAGTTTCCTCAGCAAATCTGCAGTGTAGTATAGAAAGACTGTGTACTTAAATGTGAGCAGTGAAATAGGATAAGAAATAGAGTAAGTTTAGTATCTGGGAGGGTGAAATGAAGAAAAGTTTGTGAAAGGCTTACAGGATCAGCAGTACTCAATACTCACACTGAGGACTGAACGAGGTGTAAGTATCCCCATGCAGGCAGGTGGCTAGGTTTTTCTAAGGTAGGAGCCGTGTGAGAAAATGTGAACTTGGTTTGACTAGTGTTGAGGTTTAGGGAAGATGGAGAAGGGCCACAGGTCCAATCACTAAGGGCTACTTTCTAGTTCTTTTATTAAAATCTGTAAAGAAATAGTACTGGTGACAATAGCAGAGAAATTAAGGCTTTAAGATAGAAACATAGGCTTTTAAGAATGTTTTAAGAAAAATAAAGTAAGTTCAATATTCAGTATCTTGCCTTAAAGCATTTTAGGCATGTAGACATGCCATATGTGCGAGGTCCCTATAAAAGACCCAAACAAAACATTTCTTGCATACAGAAGGAAAAGGAGGTACTTTGTGAGTAAAAGCTAAATGGTATGAAAGAAAATTTGTTTTGGAAGCCAAAGGCTAAATAGTGTGTTTTATTTTGCTGACATAATAAAACACATTATAAGTCTGGTATTTATGTTAAAATGCATGCAGTTGAAAAATGAATGTATTGGTTCTTTTGAGGTCAACAGAATATGTGTTATTTTCCAGACAGGGTTTTCCACTTACCCTTTGCTTCTCCAGATTACTATGATGTTAACTAATTAGTCATTTAACAAATATTTACTGATAGATTGCCTACTGTGGACCACAACTGTTCTGAATGTCTCTGGAGAGAAATTGCAAAACAAAGGATAATTTCTCTACTATTGTGAAGCTGATAGCCAAGTCAGCTACTTAAGTCACAGAAGTCTCCACCACTGTTGCTACCCATCAAAGGCGTGCCTGTTGCCCTTTGTATCCAAGACTAACTGAGGCTAAGGTGCTATGTCAAGATGCTATCATTTACAGTACAGGTTCTAGTTCCTATTATGTCTGAAACTATTAACATCAAAGTTGCTGATACCTCGTAACATTATTCTCTAGGTTTTTACCATTTTTATTGCAACTTTCTTTCCCTAAGAATCAGGCCTGAGTACTAAGTGGACAGATTAGAGGACACTGAGTAAAAAACATTGTTTTATACCTTTTTGCCAGGTCTGATCATCTATCTTTGAACTTTTGTTAGTGTAATTTGACTCGTTTGCCTTAAGGTATTCTTTCATGAAAAATCTACATGGTTATACTCCTATTAGTTCCCCAGACATGTCCAAGTGTGCCTTTCTTCTAGGGCAAATATTTCTAAGACACACGAGGGGGTCCTTACTGTACTGTGCCTTGGAAACCCATTACTAAATCTTGGAAGTCATTTGATTTAAAGGGTGTTTACGAAGTATTAATTTACTTTGAGATATCTGAATGCTTTATTAAGATCTCATAACTGCCAAATAAATATTATTTTATTTTACTTATTTCAACTAAGAGAATCATTCCAAGATGGAAACAAAGGATATTCAAATATATTTTTTTATGCTTTAGAATGTGCCACTCTTCATAATATGATAAAAGGGCTTCAGCGAACCATTGAATATCAACACAATTTGAAAGGTAAGTTAAGAAAACAAAATAGAATCTAAAAATGCCATTTGAGCAACTTTAAAAATTAAGTTTTTACATTATTGCCAATAAGTTCATTTCAACTTGATCTTATTTAATTAATCAGTTAATGATAAGACTCGTTATTATTCAAAAATATTTTTTGAATTATTATTAAATAAATACTATGATGAACAGCACAATTCAGTTATAATCTCTTTTCCATTGATTGATGTATCTATTTTAACACCAGTACCATACCATACTAATTACTATCCCCATGCAGTAGAATCAGGTTACTCTGATGCCTCTGGCCTTGTTCTTTTTTGCTTATGAATGCTTGACTATTCAGGGTTTTGTGGTTCCATGTGAATTTTAGGATTGTTTTTGCTATATCATGAAAAATGGAGCTGGCTCTGTGGTATAGTAGTTAAGGCAGCCTGATTCCTTATGACTGACCATACGGTCTGAACCCCAATCCTCTTGGCTTGAAAAACATGCAGGGCATGAGTGCCTGCATATCCTAAATTTCAACAGGATGGCAAAATGGGGGAGAAGGAATTGTAATAAGAATCCTCCTATCGGGGCTGTTTTCTTCCTTTCCTTCTCCCTCTCCCTGTCTCTTACCCTTGCTCTCTCTATGATGAAAGCACATGCCCACTGGTAAAAAAAATTTAAAAATAGAAAAAAAGAAATGATCAATTGCTTTGAGCCTGGTGGTTCCATGGCCCACATAACAGTGATTTGAGTCCTGGACCCAGATGCTTGAGAAACACACTTGGTTTGTGTGCATGTGTGCCCAAAATCCTGAAAGGAAGGAAAAATGGTGGAAGAGGGATTTTGGTATGACCATTCCCCATAGGGTGCTTTTTCACTTTTTCTCTTTCTATGTTGAGCACGTGCACCCTCAAGCAAAATATTTTTAAAATAATTATTTAATTTTATCTATTATTATTATTGTTATTATTATTATTATTATTTGACCAGAGAAAGACAGAGGGTTGGAGGGAGAGGGAAACTATAAAAGCAAGCCATCAGGTCCAGAACTTGAACCACAGTCAGCCATCTGGGAATCCAGCACCTTAACCATCACACCACCTGCCACTCCCCCACCCCATCCCAGGCAAATAAAAAAAAGAAAGAAAGAAAGAAAGAGAGAGAGAGAGAGAGAGAGAGAGAGAGAAAGAAAGAAAGAAAGAAAGAAAGAAAGAAAGAAAGAAAGAAAGAGAAAAAAAGAGAAAAGAAAAAGAAAAAATGATATTGGAATTTTTATAGGGATTGCACTGAATCTGTACTTTGGATAGTAGGGATATTATAACAATATTATTTCTTCTTCCAGAGCACATTATTTTTGTCTTTTTAAAGTTATATTTATTTTTAAATTTCATTTATTTTTGTCTTTTTAAATTTCTTTTATTAGTCTCTTATAGTTTTCAATGACAAAAGAGTCTTTGATGTCCTTCGTTTAGTTCATTCCTAAGTATTTTATTTTTTGTAGCTATTATAAATGGGACTGGTCTTCTTGGTTTCTCTTTTCAGAAAGTTAATTATTAGTAAAAAAAAAATGCTATTGATTTTTGTATCCTGTGACTTCATTGAATTTTAGTCAGTTCTAACAGCTTTTTTGTTTTGTAGACTTTTTAGTGTTTTTTACATATGAAATTATGCTGACAGCAAATAGAAAGAGTTTCAAATCATCCTTTCCTATTGGATGCCTTTTATTTCTTTCTTTGCCTTATTGTCCTGCCAAGGACTTTAATACTACGTTGAATAGAAGTGGTAAGAGTGGGCATGCTTATCTCATTCTGGATCTCAAAGGAAAGGATTATAATTTTTTACCATTGAATATAATGTTGGCTGTGAACTTATTACATGTGGCCTTTATTGTGTTGAAGTATGTTCCTTGTATACATCTTTTTTTGAATGTTCTGATCATGAAAGGATGTTGAGTTTTGGCAAAGGTTTTCTGCATCTAACGAAATGATCATGTGATTTTTGTCCTTCGTTCTACTGATGTAATGTACCATATTTATTGTTTTGCTAATGTTGAATCATCCTTGTATCCAGGGATAAATCCCACTTGAGCATACTGAGTTATCCTTTAAAGTATTGTTGAATTCAGTTTTCTAGTATTTTGTTGTGAATTTTGCCTGTCCATCAAGGATATTGGCCTATAATTTTCTTTCCCTGGGATATCTTTGTCTGGCTTTGGTATGAGGGTATTGCAGGCCTTATAAAAAGAGTTTAGAAGTATTCTCTCTTCTGGGTTTTTTTTTCTTTATGAATGCAGGCATTTACTGCTATAAACTTTCTTCTTAGATCTACTTTTCCTCCATCTCATCGGTTTCGGAATGTTGTGTTTCCATTTTCACTGTTTCAATATATTTTCAAATTTCTTCATAGACTCATTTATTGTCCAGGAGCACGTTGTTTAAATTCTCTGTAGTCATGAATTTTCTGAAAATTCTTCCACTTTTTGATTTCTAGTTTCATACCATTGTGGTTGGGAAAGGCACTCAACATAATTTCAACCTCTTAAATTTGTTTATATGGACCAGCTAGTGGCATGGTGGTTAAGGCAGCTGAATCCCACATGACTGCTTAGGTAGTTTGAGTCCTGGACCCAGTGACTTGAAAAACATGCTGGGTGCATGTGCGTGGACATGTGTATATGAATGCATGTATATACATGATCAAGATGTTAAGAACATAGAGAAAAATGAAGATCACCCTTAAACCAGTTGTAACAGAATAGAGAGGAGAGAAAGAGAAAAGAAGAAGTGGAAAGAAAAGAAAAGGAGAGCAAAAAAGGAAAGACAAAAGGAAGAACAGAAGGAAGGAAAGAGGAGGGAAGGAAGTGAGTATTTTAGAGCATCTCAGTATATATGCTATGATCCTGTTTCTATAAACTATAAAAACCTATGTATATGAATAGAAAAAATGTTTGAATCACAGACTTGAAGGAATGTTCACTGTTAAATAAATTCTTTGCAAAATAATATGTGTAATACAATTTGATGTTGGCTAAAATAAATAAACACAATTCTAGCCTTGTAGCTCAGATGTCATGGGATTCAGATCCACACGGCTCACCACAGTTCAATTGCCAGCCCCAGCAGTTGGAGGAAAGTTAGAAAACATATCTAAAATATTTTGTTATCAGAGAAAATAGTACATTGTGTGTTTTTGCTGAAAATATTCCCATATTAATGATGCATTTTTCATTCAAGGAAATTTCCAATTTTCTGATAAAATTATTATAAAACCTAAGCCTCCATCAACATTAAGCTTGATTAAAATATGATCCATTAAAATATAACACTTTTCTTATTGTGTCTGATTATAACATTTGAAAGCTATATGATATGATTTTAGAGTTGTACTCTAATTTTAATGCAGTGATTGAATGTCTCTGCAATAATTTAATAAGTAGACCATTTCAAAGGCCTCCTTTTTATCATTACACTACAAAACAAAATCTTCCTAAAACATTGTTCAGAAAAAAACATTTTTTTTTTTTACTAGTTTTGGGTTATATTTATACTTAAGCTTGTAGAGGGGAAATGTATAACAGGATATTGAGGACAACTTTTCCTGTTAATCTAGAATTGGTGACTAGGACCCACCTCATAATAAATAACAACAAAATGGCTACATATTTCCATATTCTAAAGACAGCTGCTAACAGTTATAAAAAGTGAAGTGAGTGACTCTCCATTATGTTTACCATGATCATTTGGAAGACCTATAAGTAGAGAATTTTTCAACTCAACTCTCCCCATTCCTTGTCCCCAGTCCCCAAGAGATATAGACCCAGAAGAAAGATGGCGAAGAACAAGAGCAAGCTAAGATTCCTTCCCCATTTCCGTTGAGTCCTTTAGGCAGGATTTAGCCCGGGGAAGTGTTCACGAAAATTTTCAGTCAAAGAGGAAATTAGAGTTTTAGATTCACCTGGATGTTTAGTAATCAAAATTAGCTATAAGGTTTTTAATATTTGCCAAAAATGTCAGGAAATAAATTTTCAGTTACTCAAACCAGAAACCTAAAAGGCAAAGGCTCTCCCTTTTTCTTTTGCTTGCACTGTTCAGTCACTAAAACCCTGGAATTCTACCATCTAAGCAATTCTCATTTCCCCTTTTGTACTGCCACTGACCTAAATTAGGTTCTTGTTATCTCTTACTTGATCTAGCCTACTGATCTCCCCTGTCTAGGGCCAAACCTTCTCATTCATCATCCACATTGCCAGATAATTTTGTTAGCACATAGCCCTAATTATTTCACCTCTTCACTGATCAAAATCCTTTGATAACTCCTGGTAATCAATAAAACAAAATCCAAAGTTGTACAGAATATAACCACTTGAGTAATATAGCCTCAACCTATATAATGCCTCCTTCTTACACTTGGATAGTACTGTGGCCTTCTGTACACAGTTGTCTGTGTCTACAATGTCCTTCCTTAACATGAAATAAGCCTCAGCTCAAGTGATTCCTCTTTTCTAAATCCTTTCCTGACTTCAGACTGACATGGGCTTTCTTCCACTGGTTTCCATAGTATTTCATACCCACTGCCATTAGAGACCACTTACGGAAGCGTATAATAACTACTTATATATCTGTCTCATGATTAGGCAATAAGTTCTTTAAAGAGTAATAGCTCTTTTGTTTGCCCGTTGCCATTCTAGCACAGTGCCTGATGTGAAATAGGTAATAAATGCATGTCTGTTAAATGCATACAGGAATGGAAGTTAAAAAGTGAAACATAATCCCATATTACGTAAAAAGTACTATATATGAGGATGTTCTTCAATTATCTTTACACAGGTGAAAACGAAGAACTAAAAAAAAATGCTGATCTTATGAAAGAGAAATTAAAATCTCATGAACAGGTGAGTTTATGTATCATTATATTCAACCAAGTCCCTGGAGAACATTTATTTATTCAAATTAAAAAAGAATAACTTCTTTTCATTAATAAATACAGTCAAAAATATGTGTCTATATATTATAGATGCCAGAACACAGTGTCTAAAAAACATAGAGGGTGCTTAATAAATGTCCATTTCCTTCCCTTTGCTCTTTCAGAGTTTTTTTAATGCTAATTTTCTCTCATATTCCAAGAATCAACATCTCAAATTCTTGGCAGACCAACAGTCTCAAGTTGGAGCTGAAGCAGGTTTCAGTTTGAAGGTTCTTTTATCTCTTAAGTTCAACCTGCTTCCTCATTTGAAGACCCTCTATAGCAACACAAGCTAGTTCTAGAAATCAACCCAGGACTTCTAGGTAATACTCAGCAGTAATAAATAGCCTTCTAGCTGTACTCTTACATGATGTAACTTTTCATTACCAATTTTGAGATGTTTAAGAGTCTCTGGAATGTATACTATCCCTTTTCCTCTCTATCCTTTTCCTCTTTCCTTCACTTTCTCAATCTCATCTATATCTTGACTCTAGAGCTAACGAAGAAATAGTGAAGTTGGCTTTTAACTGGGGCAAGAAGAAAAAGAGACTATCTTCCCTATGCCTTCTAAATATTCCTTTATTTAGGATATTATAGTAAATTTCAGAAGAGCGGAAATTAGAGAGAAAACACCACAACTCAAGATTCTGAATTTCTTAATTAGGGGTTATCTAAAGCAAAGTAAAATATTATCTCAATCCAATGAGGATTTGTGAGGATTTGTTGTACAAAACTTTCAGACACATCCAAAGTTCTTAGAAACAAACTAGGAGGTATTGCTTTGGTTCAAATATATCTTCTCAAGATGCTTGTGTTCAATTTTGGTGAACCATTGTAATGATATTCAGAATATGGAGGCTTAATCTGATTATAGTATTTTAAGATGATGGGAACCAGCAGTTAGCGTAATGGCTATGTTGCTGGACTCCCACGTAGTTGACCGCGGTTCACGTCCCGGACCCGGTGGCTTAGAACTCACACCAGGCGCGTGTGCGTGCATGCCCAAGATCCCAAGAGGAGAATGGAGGAGAAAGGATTGAGGCGTGACCGTCCCCTCTGGGGGATGATTTCTTGCTTTCTGTCTCTCTGTCTCTCTCTGTCTGTCTGGCGAGTGCACGCACCCTATAGCAAAAACCTCTCAAAAAAAAAAAAAAAGAATATGTAAATTAGCTTGATTTAGTCATTCCATGATGCATACATACTTGTTTTACACCATAAGTATATAATTTTTTTACATAAATTTAAAAATTAAAAACAAATGCTTCACTAAACATAAAAATTAGTCTTTCTCAAAACTGATTGTTCAATTATCAGTTATTTTTTCCTTCTAGACATGATGACATCGAAAATGAATACAAGATGAGAATTTTACCTTTCTAATAAAAGCTTTCACATGTATAAATTTTTTAAATTAATTATATTTTAATCTCTAGGAATATAAGAATAATATTGCCAAACTTGTAAATGAAATGAAAATCAAAGAGGAGGAACATAAGATAGAAATAAGCAAACTTTATCAAGAGATGCAGAAAAAAGGTGAGTTTTTCATTTTTATTTACTAAATTCTAAAACATCATAAAATAATTTAAATATGTAACAGGCCCAGCCCCATAGTCTATTGATCAAGAGAACTGGATCTCACATGGCTGACTGTGGATCAGATCCCAGCCATGGTGGCTGGAAAATATGCTAAGAATGTGTGCATGTATGCCCAAAATCTTGATGGGATGGAGAAATGGAGGAAAAGGACTGCAGCATGACCATGCTCCACAGAGGGTTGCTTTTTTCCTCTTCCTCTCTCTCTGTCTTTATGTCTCTCTCTGGTGAACACATGTGCCCTCTGGCAATTAAGAAAAACTTATGAATACAGTATACAACTTTTTTCAGTAATAGACAGTATTCTTGGATAGCCAGTGTTCTTCCTTGATGCATTTTAATTTTTATTTTATACTTTTCTACATATTTATGTGATGTAAATATAACATTTCTAAATTTAATTCATTTTGCTTGCACTTAATATAATCTAATTTGAAACAATATAAAATGTCTAACTGGTAACTTACGCATTCATATGTTCTGCATATTGAGTATTTTACTAGTGAAACTTACTTCCTTCAGTAAAGCTGCCTGGAAGCCTGGGGGAGATCATGATATGAGACAACTCTATCAGAGAAGTCTATCTCTCTCAAGGAAAAAAACAAACAAAAATAAAGAAAAATTCACCTTCCGTAAAGAGCTCGTGTTTATGCAGATCATACATAAAAATTAACTTGAGATGGATGATAGGTCTAAACGTAAAGCCTATAAAACTGCTAGGAAAAAGCATAGAGATTGTACGTAAACTTGAGTTATACACAGTTTCCTGGAAAGAAACAAAATCCACAAAAAATAAAGGAAAAAATTTTGACCAAAAAGTATTCATTTCTTTCCTTCAACAATATTAAGAAAATAAAACAAGGCACAGACTGGGAGAAAATGCATGCAAATGCATATCTGATAAAGAATTTATATCCAGGTACTAACAGGAGGTATAGTGGTTAAGGCACTGGACCCCCACATGACCAGCCACAGTTTGAGTGCCAGACCTGGAGGCTTAAAAATCACATCAGGCACATGTGTGTGGGTGTATACCCAAAATCTCTAGAGAAGAATGGAGGAGAAGCGATTGTGGCATAGCCATTTCCCCTTGAGGGGTAATTTCTCACCTTCTGTCTCTCTGTTCAGAAAGAATTTATATCCAAAATACATAAGGAATTCTAAAAATTCATTAAGAAGTCAAACAAGCCAATAAAAAAATGGACAAATATTTGAACAGATGCTACCCCAAAGATATACAGATGGAAAATAAACACATGAAAATATCCTCAGTGTAGTTAGGGAAATGCAAATTAAAACCACAACAAGACACTACTTTATACCTTTTATAACAGCAAAACTTCTAAAAACTATCAGTGCTAAGTGTTGCTGAGAATGTGGAGCAACTGGAGCTATTGATGGAACTACGAAATGGCACAGCCACCTTAAAAACTGCTTGGCATTTCTTTTAAAGTTAAAGATGCATTTAGTTAATTTGGGTCCTATGAGAATCAGATTAGACCTACAAGAGGTATTTTAGAAAATATGTTTGTGAAAATAGGTGAGGAGGGAATGGAGAGAAAGAAGGTGAGCTGTCAGTCTATGATAAAGGTTTGACCTCTTGTGACGAAGAGAGAAAATGAAGGACTCCTGGGGGAAAAAAATCTTATATTGTGACATTTCTTTCTTTTCTTTTTTTGCCAGAGGGTACATGTGCTCTCCAGGGGGAAGTGGGGGATTAAAAGCACCCCACAGTGGATGTGGTCACACTGCAATTCCTTTTCTTCAATTTCTCCATCCCAACAGGATTTGTGGCATGCACACACATGAGCCAGGTGTGATTTCCAGCCACTGGGACCAGTATTTAAACCTTGGTTGGCCATGTGGAATCTGGCTCCCAATTCATAATGCTTAACCACTATACCAAGGGACCATTCCTATTCTGACACATTTATTTTTTAATTACCAAAAGTCATATGTACTCCCCAGAGAGAGAGAGAAATCACTCCCCAATTGAATGTGGTCACATCCAATCCCTTCTCCTCCATTTCTCCATCCTGTCAAGATTTTGGACACACATACATAGATGCCCAGCATTTTTTTTTTTTTTTTGGAGAGATTTTCACTGTAGGGCACGTGCGCTCGCCAGACAGACAGAGAGAGACATAGAGACAGAAAGCGAGAAATCGCCCCCCAGGGGGGATGGTCACGCCGCAATCCCTTCTCCTCCATTCTCCTCTCGGGATCTTGGGCACGCACGCACACGCGCCCGGCGTGAGTTTTAAGCCACCGGGTCCGGGACACGAACCGCGGTCGACTACGTGGGAATCCAGCGACATAGCCATTACGCTAACTGCTGGTTCCCCCCAGCATTTTTTTCAAGCTACTGTGGCAGGGACTTCATGTGAGATCAGACTCGTTTAACCACTAGGCCCTTGGGTCAGTCCCCTACTATGACACATTTCTAAAAAAGTTTCAGAAAAGTTGAGCCAACATTCTCATCAACTGAGTTATATAGCTCTCAGAAATAAGCTTGCCTTAGTATCCTACCAAGCTCAGTCATTTGCTAGGGGCAGCTCTGCATATACATGATCCTGAAAACAGGAAGTCAGTTATGCTCTCTGAAGTTGGAACTGAAATTTCCACAACCACAAGAGTCAACCCCCTGTATTACACTGATTTACTTCTCCACATGGGTTCAGGTAGCAACTCTTCTACAGTGTCTGTGGACCTTTCATCCTGAGAGGACATCTGTTGGGTCGTTTAGAAAGTTATGACACATTTTTTAGTAGAAAAACACATCATGACTTTGCCGACAATTTCATAGAAGAGGAACTAGTAGAAATAGGCAAATCCATAACCATAGTGAGAAATTTAAATACACCTCTGTTAGTGTTATAAAAAGCACATACGAACAAGCAAAATCAATAAAGATTTTGTAGAATAATAATTAGAAAATTTAAACAACAAAATTGACACACATACTAACTGCTATATGTAAAATACTATACCTAATAAGTATATAACACATATTATTTTCAAGTGTGCATGGAACATTTTAAAAAGTTGATCATATTGTGAAACAAAAAACATATTAAGGGGCTAAAATCACATAGAGTAGTTTCTTTCATTGCATTGCAATTAAAATAAACTTGGTAAATACAAATAATTAGAAAATACTCCTGTATTTGGAAATTACTTCTGAATAATCAACATAGAAATCCAAAAGAAAGTTAGGTAACATTTTGAACTGTATAGAAAACGGTATATATCAAAATTCATGGAAGGCCAGTTCCATGGTGCAGCGATAATGTGCTATTCAAGAGAAATGAGATCCTGCATGGTGACATGGGGGTTTGAATCCTCCAGTTGGTCAGCCTAAACCATGCCAGGCAGGCATGTGAATGCCCAAGATCCAATGTGCTGGGTGGAGGACTAGAGTAAGGAGATTGTAGTGTGACCAGATCCTGTGGAGGGTGCTCATCTCTTTCTCTCTCTCTCTGTCTCCTTTGCCTCTTCTCTCTCACACTTTGATTTGCAAGTGTACAAGCTCTATCATGAAGAAAGAAAAATATTTTAAATTTGTGGGGAAGAGCTAAGGCTGTGTTTGTGAGTGAATTTATAGCTTCAAATACAAATATTAGAGAAGGCTAAAAATTAGTCTAAAAATCTCTATCAGGAAGTTAGGAAGCCACTTATTTGTGAGGTTTGTGGACAGACTCTTTTCTCTTTAAAATCAAAGATTTCCTTGAGGCTCCCTTTCTAGACAGCATAGTATCATTAAATAAGGAAGTTGAGAAAAGAGGAAATTTGATGAAGCAGAAAGATACCTGATCATGAAAGAGGCCTGGACATATGGCAGAGCCTTGATATAGCTCTAGAGTCTTCCTATATTTTGGTTCCTCTAGACCTAGGAACCAAGTTTGGCATCCCTCTTTAATCTCTGAATCTCCTATTTATTTTCTAGGCCACTGATGTTTGAGTATAAATAACTTTTGTGTTTCAAACATTATGCAAGGTCTTGTCAAAAATACATAAAAGCTGGGGCCAGCAGGTGGGGTAGTAGTTGAGGTGCTAGACGCCCACATGGCCGACTGTGGTTTGAGTCCTGAACCCGACGGCTTAAAACTCATGCCAGGAGTGAGTGTGTGCATGTCCAAAGTTCCAAGAGGAGGATGGAGGAGAATGGATTGTGACATTGCCATCCCCCAGGGAGTGATTTCTCACTTTCTCTGCCTCTCTCTAGCTCTCCAGCAAGCACATGTATCCTATAACAAGAATCTCTCCCTCATGTATATATTTTACTCTACACATAAATAATTCCTAAAATATATTTTTAACAAAATTTACTTTCTTGAGAATTGTTTAAAATATAAAGACACGTGTAATTATAATATTTTTAAATGTTAAATGAATAGATTTTATAAATTTTATTTTATTCAGTTGAATTAAATGAAGAAAAGCACAGAGAACTAATAGAGAAAAAGGAAATGGAAATATCAGAGTTAAATGAAAAGTTAAGAACTCAAGAAAAGGAAAAACAAAGTGAAATGATCAAACTACAGCTAGAGGTAGGTGTTTAAGGATGTGTTAAACTTGAGAACATATCACATATCTAAATCATATTTTGTTTTTCACCACAGTGAGATAAATATTAGGACTGAAAACAATCTTGTGAGTGGACCTCACACACACTCATTTCCCTCAGATGCAATGCTTGAACACCATACCACTGCCAGCTATGTGGTTTTTCAGCCCTTGACCTGAGGGTGGAACTCTTCAGTTGTTCAAAAGATACTGGTTTCCTGAGATAGTGGTATTTGTTCTGAGAGCGGAGACAAGTAACACAGTGATTATCTCCATTTAAAATCAAGTCTACACAGGTTTTATAATACCACCATTCCAGCATGGGGAGAGTGTTTTTAATCCCTAACAGTACTCTCTCCCCAGTAGAAATTCTGGAACCCTGGTAATCCAACTAGACATTCATTTTACATTACTTGTGATAAAAAGAGACAAATTTGTCCTCAATAAATAAATTTTTATAAAACTACATATTGTGGTGGTAAATCAACCAAATTTCTAAAAAAGAAAAGAAAAGAAATTTGAGGAACTTCAAATACAGCATCTCCAGAATACACAGAGAACTCAAGTGGCTTACCCAGAAGAAAATGATTAAACCAATTAAAAGATGGGAAAATGAGCTGAACAAAAATCTCTCTAAGGAAGACAGATGAACAGCCAAAAAGCATATGAAAAAATGCTGAACATCCCTCATCATAAGGGAGATGCAGATCAAAACCTCCATGAACTACCACCTAACCCTAACCCCAGACAGAATGGCAAATATTAAAAAAAGAAAAGAAAGATAAGTGCTAGTGAGGACGTAGTAAAAGGGGAACTCTCCTACATTGTTGGTGGGAATATAAATTAGTCCAGCCACTGTGAAGAACAATATGAAGGCTCCTCAAAGACCTTCAAATAGAACTACCATATGATCCAGCATTTCCACTTCTGGGTATCTACCCAAAGGACAAGAGAATGCTCAGTTGGGAAAACACTTGCACATCTATATTTATTGTAACCTTATTCACAATTGCTAAGACATGGAACCAACCCAAATGACCACAAACAGGTGAATGGATTGAAAAACTGTGGCACATATACTCCATGGAATACTATTCAGTCATTAAAAACAAGAAGACCCTGGCATTTGATAGAAAGTGGATGAGTATGAAATATTTATTGCTGAGTGAAGCAAGTCAGGCTATGAAACAGAGACATTGTATGTCTCCACTTACCATATACTAACTGTCCACACTCTATGGAAGAGATTGAAAGACTAGAGGACATAAATGCATTGAAAGTTATTATGGATAGTAGGGACAAAGTGGAAAGAGAGTGGGAGAGGGGAAGAGGGTAGAAAAGGAAATTTGAGGGAAAAAATAGAAAGGGAAAGGTAAGACATTTGTGGGACAATCCTGAGATGAATACTGAACTTCAGCTCTGAAATATTGATTTCTTTGTCCAAAAATGATTTTCTGCTAAGACTTCTTACTCCAGATTCATTTCTAGTGGGTAGGGCTACCTCTGCCTCCTCTTTATTTCTGTCTGTCTCTCTCTCTCTCTCTCACTGTGTCTCTCTGCGACTTTTATTTTTTTTTAAGGTAAAGTATTCTCTGGGCTCTCAAGCCTTTGCTTTATTGTGTTAATTGGTGCCTTTCCACATTCCATTTAGGAAAGGCACAAACCCAGGCCAGGCTCATCCTGAGATGCATACTGAACCTCAGCTCTGAAATATTAATTTTGTGCCACGTGGTTTGCATTTTTTGCTTTTTAAAATTAAAATCTAACAATTTTTTATTATCACTTTGATTTTACTCCTTTTTATTTTATTTTTTCTTCTTTCCTCTTCTCTAATTCTTTTTGTTTATCTTTATTTATTGGATGCTCAGCCTCTATGCACTCAGTGTCTAGACAGGTCCAAGTGGACAGCTTCCAAACATCTAAATATGATTAGGGTCAGAATATTACTCTATCCTCACTGAATCTGATGCACAAAGAGTGAAAAACGGAACCAAAGAGAGATTGTAGATCACCTCCTTCTTCATGCCTCTGAATGCTCAGATTGAACTTCAAGAATTAGGAAGAAACACACCATCCATCCAATAACTAGAAATCACTGCAGGGTCACAAGAAATGTGGGAAAGCAAGAAAATTCCTCTCCTCCAAGCTCCAAGGGAAAATTATAACTCCTCTTCATCTTCAGACAGTACAATGAAACTCATAGAAATGTCTGATAAAGAATTTAGGATATTCATAATGGCAAAGCTAACAGAGATGGAAGAGAAGAGAGACAATGAACTGCAGAAGAGGCAGGGGAAAGGAGCTGATGAGTTCCAGGTGAGGAAATTCTTGCAAGATCTAAAAGAGGAAATAAACACTATAAAAAAGAATCAAATGGTCTTGTTAGAGATGAAGGCTATAACCGCCCTTGAAAGTATTAAAAGCAGACTAGATCATACAGAAAATTAAATTAAAGGTGTAGAAGATAGAATCGCTGGCCTAGAAAAATTCACTATGAAGACAGAAAATGGCCCCCCAAAATGAGAATAATATACGAGAAATGCTAGATACCATCAAATGTCCAAACATCCAGATAATTGGTATCCCAGAAGGCGAAGAGACTCATAAAGGCATTGATAATCTATTTCATGAAATCCTGGAAGAAAACTTGATAAAGCTAGAGAGGCATTCAAAGATCCAGACCCAAGAAATACAAAGGATCCCAAATAGAATCAACCCAAGAAGATCTTCTCCAAGACACATTATAGCCAGATTGACCAAAACCACAAAGACAAGATACTAAGATTGGCAAGAGAGAAACATCAAGTTACCTACAAAGGATAGCCCATCAGGCTAACAGCAGATCTATCATCAGAAACAATGAGAACAAGGAAAGAATGAGAAAATAAATTCAAAGTGTTGGAGGAAAAGCAATTTCAACCAAGAATACTGTACCCGGCAAGAAAAGACAAGAACATTCTCGGCTACATAAAACCTGGAAGAATTTACCAACACCAGACCAGATCTCAAGAAGTTCTCAAGGGAGTGCTATACCAGGAAAATTAAATACAGACACGCAGAAATGAAAGTTCAAAACCCAAGAAAATGGCTAACTTAAACATAAGGCCAAGTCTGGAGTCAAATATTATATCCCAGAATTTAATCAAATAGATCGAACCATAACAGAAGATAGGTTAAGTACATGAGACTGAACTGGTGAAATAGAATTTTATGACTTTTGACTAAAATATTGCTGATTTTCTCCTAAGCTTTGTTTTCTGATTTTAAGGATTTTTTGTCCTGTCTTGAGCTGACAATAGGTTCATGTACCTATTATTTGAACAGAATCCTTACCTATTTCCTGGCTTTAAGTTTTAAGCAAAGTTCCTTAGCATTTCTTTAATTTATTAAAGCTAAAACTGCTTTTCTTGAAACTAAAAAATATATTAAAAAATACCTAATGACCATAGTAAGCTATATAGCATCAGTCAGGTGCTATCTTATTGTATGTATATTCATTCTACTTAGAGTTTCAAGCCTAAAATCAGACATGTATTCACAGACATGTATATACCAGCTGAACTTGCAATTGAAAGTAGTTATATTATTTAAGAAATTTTGTGAATCAATAAAATTTGGGGGAAAAAAGGAATAGAAAACAGCTGTAGACACCTGTGATAGTGTGGGAGGATATATATATATGAAACTAGAAATGAAAAATTACGATAACATGTATGATTAAGCAACTATGCAGTATATTCTGGACGGGAAATCACATTTCATATGTTGTGACGATGCTCAGGAAATGAATATAAATGAACTAATTTTAAAAAATGTTTCAGAAGAAAATTACAGTCCCCTTGTCACTAAAAAAAAAAAAAAGCCATTTATGGGACACAGATACGGTTTATTACCTGTTGATGATGACATGTATCGTATTCTCAACTGGACTGGTCTGAGGTTTATATCATGCTGGGTAAAGTCTCTTTACCATCTAAATTTTGTATAGTGATTGAATGTATAAATGATAATAAAAAATAATGAATAAAAAAGAAAAAGTATATAAGAAAAAATAAAAACATGAAAAAAATAAAGTGGAAATGGAAAAAAATATATAGCATCTCAAAGGCTGAGTCTCCAGCTCTTTACTCTAAAGCCTTTCAGTAGATTAACCAGATGTCAGAATCCTAGAGATACTCATATTTGATTATATATTATTCTTTATATTATTTTCTAGATTCTAGCAATCTCCATTTACATAATTCTTCTATCATATGCCCCCACCTCGACTCCCACTTTATGTTGTAAGAATTCATAGGTCTTACTTAAGATAACTTACTACTCATTTTTCTGAAGCTCTGGTATCTCTGGGGTGCTTGGTGAGTTATCTTATATACTAATTGGGCAAAAGGGGATTGATGCTAACTTTACAGAGACTTTTTGCTGCTGCTGCTGCTGCTGCCGCCTTCTGGCCAACTGTACAACCAAACCACAGAGTGGGCTAGATGGCCAACCAAAATGCAATAACCCGTTTCAAGATCTGCTGTTGTTAAGTAATCCATTGGTGGATATTTGCATTTTGTCTGCTATGAAGGCCCTGGAACTGGCCTAGCCCATCTGTTATTTGACTGGAATGTAGAACTCTGTCATTTGTCTTTGGTGTAGCTATCCATTTCCCTCTACCAAAACCAGAACACAATCTCAGAATCTCTTCCTAGTCCTCAGAGAGGCAACACTGAACTAAATCTGAAAGTAAGACTTATAATGGAATATTGTGCAAAAACAACTTGACATGTAAGAATGACCTATAAGAATTTCTTAACCTGATTTATTTCAGTTTAAACCAACAAGAGTTTAACCTAAATTGGTGAAATCATATCCGAATTCTACTTTTCAGACTCGAAGTTTTTATAGGAGGGTGTGTGGCCCTTTCTGAATAACTGTTAACTACACTACATTTTCTCTATAAAGTGCACTCATAGAAATGGGAAAATATTTTTCTCTCTCTTTACATTCATCAACCCTGGCTACACAGTATAATCACCTGATGTTTTGGTAAAAAGTTGATGCTTGTTGCATCCCAGAATATCTAAGATAGTAGTACATTTTTTTGTTTGTTTCAGTTTTTGCTATAGGGCATATGTGCCCACTGCAGAATGAGAGACAGAGAGAGAGCAGAGAGAGAGAGAGAGAGAAATTACCCTTCTGGGTGATGGCCACAATGCAGTCATTTCTTCATTCTCCTTTTGGGATTTAGAGCATGCACACACACATGCCCTACGTGTTTCTCAAGGCACCAGGTCCAGAACTGAAACCACACAGTTTGTCATGTGGGATTCACCTTAACCACCATTGCCACCAACTAGCCTGGCATATATTACTTTTTTAAAACTCCCCGAATAATTTTAACACACACTCTGGGTAAATTTTGATTTTTATTTTGCTCTTTCTTTAGAAATTGTTTCTTAAAGCTTTTTCTATTATGCGTTATATAGAGGATACTCTTAAGTTACAGACTATATGTCAAAAGTATCATGGGTTATAATTATATTTATAGAAACAATTGTTTCTCATTGTTTAAAATATTCTCAATAATTTTCTTTTTAAATTTTTTTCAGCTTGATGCCAAACTAGCAAGAGTGCAAACCAAACCAAAACCATATCCAAATTCGGCTATTTTGCCACAAACTATCTACAGAAGGGTACGTGTGTTTTTTCTTCCATGACTATAGTTTTAAAAATAATTATTGTTTCTATAAAAATTACATTATATTCATTACCAACATAGATGACATTTTTTGTATCTGTAAATGAATTTTACCCCATTAAGTTCTCAAAAATAAAATTATAGTCCTTTTAAGATAGTCTCTTTAAATATCAACTTAAGCCAGAAGTGTTCTTTGTTGTCATTTCTTATACTTAATCTTATTAATTCTAAATTGCAATAACAAATTTTTTTCTGCTTCATTTAGAAGCTTCAACATCTTCAAGAAGAGAAAAATAAGGAAATTGCAGTTCTTCGTAATACCATTCGCAATTTAGAGCAACGTCTTTCTGTTGGCAAAGATTCTCACCTTCATCGTAGACGGTTTTGAGCATAGTAGTGAATCTGTAGTTGCTATTTAATTTCTTTCAAAGTAACTGAAAAGTTCCCTTCCATTTTCAATATAAACATACTGCCTAAAAATGACACCAAAAAACAGCTTTAAACTTTTTAAAGTTGAGTTTATTTAGACAAGTCTATACCTTTACCATTTGTGTACTGCTTTCTTGCTTAGCAGTATTAACCATAAAGGAGTTCAGGTTTATAGGAATTAGTTGCCTATTGAACCATCATTGACTATGGAAATACTTTCTAAGCAGTCCAGAGATAGACAACATTCTTTTATCTTTACCCCTATGTCTTTCAAGACAGTCATTCAACTTTCAGAAGAGTGTGATACAATGCTAGATAGAGAAAATACGAAGACTTTATTCATATGTGATAGTTAAAAATCGAGATATGAATTTTAGATATAAAAAGAATAAATGGATATTTAAAATGTAGTCATATGTCCTTCTCAGCAAAATACTCATGTGTTAAGTTTTTCTGGATCTTAAAATATAGAATCCACTTCCTGATAACATTGTTTTGAGAGTTAAGTAAAAAAAGAAAAACAAAACAAAACAAAACAAAAAACGGCAAACATGTCTTTGTTGTTCTTCCTCCATTCTAAATTGCTAACTATCCAACCGAAACCCCTAGGTCATAGTTTATGTTTCTGTCTTCATTAATGCAAATAGAATACTGGAAAAAGAAAAAGAAAGACATGTTAACCAAAAGTTGCAATCACCTTTCAGTTGCCTCGTAATAAAAATATGGTTTGGGTCAAATTTCCTACTATATAAAATATAAAATGTGGAAGCCAATCTAATAGATTTCTTCATATTTGCAACAATCCAATTTCTATTTGTGGTTCACTAATTAATTTAGTAGTTTGTTTAAATGCTGGAAATGAAATTGACTGACTGGAAGAGTCTATCCAATTTAGATATTTAGTTTGAGAGTCATTTTCATTCTTCTGCCTTTTTATTTCATTTTCAATTGGTGCTGACTTCTGTGGGACTGAGCTGCTGACTTGTCTGTCAGGCAGCTGGAGGCAAACGTCACTGACAAGATTCAATGACATTCTCCTCCGCCCGGAGTCCCTGTCAGCTACATAAAGATGGGAGGTTTTCTGTACACTGTCAGGTGATTGCAGCCCCTGTCTTTTCAAATATCAGATGTCGACAATGTCAGCATCAGCTCCTAGGAGCCAACTCTGAATCCCTGGGTAACTGACAGAGTAACTGATTTATACACCCCTTTCGTCAGATCTTCTTTTGTAGAAGCTCTGGCATATCTCAACTCTCTGGGTGACCCTGCCTATCATGGCCTTTGTGCTTATGGTGGTGATGAAGGCCTGGAGGGGGGATATGCAAAGGCTCATCAGGTGTCCCTGGCTGCTGGTTCTCTGGAAGCTGATCTCTCCCAACATGCTGATGCCCAGGCTCATGGTGGTGTTTGTGATGGTGATGTGGATGTGGCGCCTCGGTTGTTTTTTCCACAGCAGCCAAAGATACATTCTTACAGAAGTCTTTATCTTTAAGAGTCTAGAACAGATTTAAAATAATTTATTAATAAGTTTATC